AGAAATTAACAAGCGAAATTAGAGTTTTGTTTTATATATAAAAACATTTTATAATTTTAATTTTCTAGATTTATATGTATTTGGTTCCAATATATTATATTCTACCACTAATAAAACAGTTTAGCTGTTAAGTTTATTGTGCTCTTCTTGAAGATTATGAGCTTAATTTTTATCGAAAACATATAACTTACTACTTATTAGTATATTGAGTTGACAGTAATCAATATAAAAAAAATAATAATAATTTGAAAAAGTATGTAGTTTAATGCATTATTGTACTAATAAGACTGCAGTGATCAAGTAAGATCTCGTTCTAACAAATTATAATGTATTTATACAGAAAGAATATTATGTAGTCACTAAATTTTCTTACTTGGGGTAAACACAACAAATTAAATAGTTTTTTTTTTTTCTATTTAATCTACAGATCTCCATTATTTTAATATGTAAAAGTTAAAGCATAATTTACCCTTTTGAAGCAGGATTAAATAATTTTGAATTTGGCAAGTATAAATTTTTGTATTTTTACGTGTAACAGTGAAAACAAAGGAACATCTAAACTTGAACTGGCATGAGATTGGCTTAAAATTTACTTCATATTACATATAAATGAATGCTCACCAAACTTAAAAAAGGAAAATCACATGTAAAATCTTTTGAACTCTTACCATTTTCACTCTTTAGCCATTAACTACTTCAAGTGGTTTTATAAATCAAAATTTTGCGCTTTATAACGATACATCCGCCAACTGGTGCGCCGCATTCACTAGCAATTTGACTCCATTTTGCTCCTTTTTCTTTGGTGTTCTATTTTTGGTGCTTTGATTTGATTTGTTCACGTGTATTGTTCTACTAAAACTGTAAGTATAGATTCTTTACACACCTATATGTAAAATCTGAAATAAAAAATCAGCTTCATCTACCATGTCAACTGCAAATCTATTCCCATATTTAAATAAAGAAAAGCTTTGAGATGGCTTTACAACCAGTGCGCCAGGTGGAAAGATATAAGCAGATTAAAGTATATATGCTTTATATATATATATATATATATATATATTAAACAATCATAATAGTAACAATAAATAATAAAAAAATAAGAAGGTTAGATCCAATCAGTGCAAAAGCATGGCTGGGGAAGAGGTCAAAGGTTTGAAACATTCCATGTTGTGTGGTATTTATTGTGATTGGATTTGATGCCCGCGTAAAGCGGTAAACCAGAGAAAGAGTATTTGCTTAATTGCATGTCCTTTTCATAATCATGCACGCACCCCATTGATCGCAATAATGCCATCCATCCCAGCTTACCAATCATCTTATCTTATCTTCTTTATACATATATACAATCATGTGCCCGCAGAAAGGGAGTTCTTTCTTTTTTGTTGGAATTCTTTTACCAAAGAAAGATGTAATCTTTTTAAGAACTCACCTCACCTAATGGGTTTTTTTTTTTTTTTAAATTTTATTTTATTTTATTACGAACTCATATATATATATATATATATATGTATATATGGTATTCTTACATGATATAAAAGTTAAAATTCAATTATCAAAATTTTGTGCTTTAGAATTGAGCTTTATTGACCTCAACAATCAACCAACAAATTAACATCTTCATCTTCACTTCTCTATGTTCTTGATATGTATATACAGGACACATTCTTTTTTACATACGAACAATAAATCCTTTTTTTGGTACTCTCTCATTTTTGTCAGCTTCACATTACAGTTAATAATTGTCTCTATGCAACAACAATTGACCATATATTAACAGTATTAAGGAGTAAGCAATCACTCACGAGATAACTGTAATCATCTAAATTTTAATAACTAATATGCACTATTGATATTATGGATCTTTTATATTTAATCATGAAGTAATGTTTCATGAAAGAGATCTAAACTAGTGTATTTCATGAACTCATTATCTGATAAAACACGTATATACTCTTTTACCCTAGAGTATGCAAATGATTAATGCAAATAATCACATCCCTAAAATGAATACAATATACGCTAATCTAAATTAGATCACAAATATCTAAAGTTCTTGATTATATGATTCGAAATATTTTACGGACTTAATAACTAAGTTTAACTATTATGATCTCTATCACAATTCTAATTTTCTCTTTAAAAGTGTTAAAAACTTTTTATCATGTTAGAATTGAATTCATTCATTTAAATGAGCAATTTATGATAAAATAAATTATTTCTTTTATTATTAGTAACGATAACTAAAAGTAATATCTTGCTTTTATCATAACCAAGTTTTGTATAAACTAATAATTAAAATAATTGCATACTCATGATTGATCACTCTATTAGTGTATTGGCTTGAGGGCACATTTCTTATAATTTAGATTGCTCAACACTCAAAAGATATTTTAAACATTACTTAGTTGCATCTCCGTCAACAAATCAAACACATATAATACATGATCGACATTTACATCAACCATAATCTATACCGAAATAGATACTTACTCAAATATGCTACCATAGTAACTTAGAAAGTCAAATCAAATATCATAACAAAAAGTAACATGACTTCATACGTAAAATTAAGAGGCTCTTTAGGAAACTAAATCCTTCATAGCCACCCAATTCACTCGATGTGTTAAATTGGTAGATTTCTTATATTAGATACACAGGTATTCCCACATAAATCAAGAAAGAGTACTGAAAGTTGGAGCAAAAGAAATGTTCACTAATTTTGAATACTGAAAAAACCCTAACATAATTACTTGTCAAAGTTATAAACACTTCGTTTTACAGAAACCCAACAATAATGAAAATCTAAGAAAAGTCCTACAGAATAACCAGAAAAATTCTTGTATGAGTATCTTTTATGATCGTGCAACAAATATTTAAAAATTTTAACGATAAGTTAAAAGGTAAAAGAGACTATACAACTAATAGGATCTTGCATGAAAATATATAGATGTTCTAACTCGAAATAATCTACTATTGTTACTAAAATTTTCAGAAATCCA